ATGGGGTAGGACTAGATAAGTCTAACTTCTTCCTACTCCGTTCAAGCATGTCCTAGGTATAAGCAAATTGATAATGCATTTGTGGATATGTGTGAAATTATGTGTGTTGACATATTGACTGTCTTTACATGTTTGAAAGAATAAATCAAATCAAATCAAAAGTTATTTAGCCATTAATAAAAAGTATATATCCACAACCCATTTTCACTGCTTACAACTTCAGTAAGAGCCTCCGAGAAGTTGGAGCATTTTGAGAGAGGAACTGTTGTTGAATTGGGCCTAAACACGCCTTATCCTTTTAAGATGCGTTTCAGATTTACTTTAGTGTTTCAAACTGGGATTTCATTACTTCCTATCTGGGTGATCAGTCAGGATCTACAGTACGTCACTATGCAATTTCTTCTTCTACTTTTTCATACTTTTGTGCTTAGTTATAATTAAGCAAGCCAATTTTCTTTTATTAGCAAATTACTTGGCCAATAAAACCACGATAGTTGGAGTATCTCTACACAGCTCAGAGACACATATTGTAACACATTTATCAGCAGGGACAACAGTATTTTAGATACTTTCCTATGCATTTTTTTTTTAACTTTAATATGACAATGAAGTAGGAATACGCTCTCAGGTTTATAAATCCCACATTTACTTTATCTATTTAAACTTTGTGCTTAAAGTTGTGGATGTGTGTATCTACAGTATGTCTCTGTGTGCGAGCATGCATTTAGACAGAGATGTAGGGTGCAGTGTAAGTGGTGGACAGAGAGAGGAACAGAGCTCACCACTGTTGTACTGGACGGGGATGTGTTCAGTCAACAGCTCATGCTCACTTCGCACACCAATGAGCAGTGGACTTCCTCTCCTGTTGGAACAAGAATGAAGCAGGTGGAGAGGAAGAGATGAAGTCGAGGAGATGGAGAGAAAGTGTGGGTAAGGTGGGAAAGGACAGTTTAGGCTTTGTAGACACACAACGTCAGACACGCACTTTGATGCTTTGTTAAAGTATGAATGTTCCTGAAATTTGATCGTTTCTCCTACTGTATTATTCCAAACAAAGCATAAGTTCTGAGGTTTGCCTCCGTACACAAGGGTTCAAACACAATCTGACTTATTCCGAGAATCTTCTAAACTGTATAACCTTGAGGGCTTGATAGGTAAACTGATCCACCATTTGTCTACACTAGGATTTGCTCATAGTTCCTGGACCAAGTCAATGCTTCCTCATTGGCCAATGATTCTGTGGTCTTGTCCTATTGGCTATGAGAGCGGAAGAAGTGCAATGATGTGTAGATTTGACAGGTGAGGGAGAAGGAAGGAGACCAAATTTAAAATACAGGAGACCTTATCCCGTGACTACAGTATGTCAAAACTAAACCTCTTCATGTTTAGTTATTATGACGCTGATGTCCAGAAGTCCTCTCCTTATTTCTTGTCTTTCTCTGTCTGGATCCCTCTGTTCTTCTGGTTACCCGTTCTCTGGGACTCGGCTACACTGACGTAAGACGGCTGGTTGTTTTAAGGGGTGTGGGACTTGACCAAGGCTTGCAAACAGAAACATGTGGTTGCTATCCAATACAATATTTAAGGGAGAGATGGGAAGAGGGGAAGCAAATGTATAAAAGAAAAAGGTAAGTAGTAGTAAGTAAAGTGTGCTGGGAGGTTGATCCTACACTACACTGAGTTTAGCCAAAGCTTTACAATACTCATATCAGCTATCAGACCTTTTCAAGCACACAGTACAACATGAACAATGGATATGCCCGAGTTTATTGACTTTAGCAACAGATATAGCACGAAGCAGCCATTCCAACACTGGCACTATCAGACAACCTCTTTGCATAGATCACGTGTTACAGCACACTTCATTTCATTGCCCTTCTGCACTACTCTCAATATTCTCTTGCTGCCATGCTTCAGCAGGCTCCCTTCCCTGTGAGCCATGATAGCTCACTGAACCAGGAAATAATAAAAAATTAAAAGTAAAATGATAAGAAGCATGGCCATTTCCCAGAGCTGCAACAGGAAGCTCTCAAGTCTCTCTGTTAATGGGTCACAGAGAAGGAGGCCTGGGGCCAGCAGCCCAGAGGCCAGAGGAGGGAGAGAGGGAACCTGAATTCAACCTCTGCTCTGCTCCACTCTCTGCCTAGGTCTTAAAATACAAACAGGACTGGCACATACAGGTGCAAAGGAACTGACACACATTCACACACACGCATGAAGAACAGCACAGTCACCCACTGTCATAAACAAAGCCTTTTCCAGAGTCATAACCTATCATATTTAATGGATGTAAGTAGGATTGCTTCATAATGACTTTAGCACGGATGAGTCATCTCAAGTGAGTCTGGCTCACAAAACAGATACCGGACCACAATGTGAAGAAACGTCAGAGCAGTGTGTGTGGCTGTATCTATAACCAAACCTGGTGGACACAGCTTCTCCGGGGAAATGACGACTTTTAAACACCAGTGCGAAGGCCCCCTCCTGAGACAGAGAGAAACAGAGCCCACACAGAATTAACATTAGCTTGATGAAAGAGTGAAAATACAACAAAATGTTAGGGAAGAGGAGGAAAAACAGTTAAAAATGTACAATTTAAATGCACTGTAAAAGTCATATGCCTGGAGAGTATGTAACCTTAGAGAGAAACATTTTCAGAACACAAATAAATATTTCTTCTGGCCCCATGGGGTTTGGTAGTTGTGGTGGTGGTGGTGTGTGTGGGTGAGTGTTGGGAAGTAGTGAGACATGGGGGGTGGGGCGGGGCTTAAGCGAAATAAGACCCCTATTGTATAAAATCAGCAATATTTCGAAAGCACTGCACTGTCTGTGGTGGTTACCAGAAGCAAAACTGGCCAAGTATGTTTGTGTTTGTGTGTGGTGTTGAAACCGAAAGTGGGGGGTAAGTGTGGAGTGGGAGTCAAATGGGGGGCGTCATGGTGGTGAGGCTGTTAGTGGCTCTAACTGTCTGTTTCCCATTACTTAAAATCCAACACGGATGCTTTTGCCTACTCTGTTGTTCTACTTACAGAAAAACCACTACAAGTGAAACATGCGAAGCCCTGAAACATGAAAAGCACACACAAGCTCGCGCCCTCTCACCCGAAATGTTCTTTGAGTGATGATGTCACTTGTGATGTTGTTAGGGCGGTTGGCATGGGGACTGTGTTTGTAGTGGCTTATTATGTTTTAATGGGCGAGAATTTGAAGTTTGTCAGACAATGAGCATGTGAGTGTATGACTCATCACTGACACGTTCTATCACACTAAGCTACATGATGCTACCCTTCATAGTTACCAGGAAGCCTGGTATAAACATTTTCATCTGTAGTTGCAGCAAAAAAAAAAAAAGCCACAAAACTGAGTTGTGTTTGAGGGATACAGGGAAGAAATAAAAGTAAAGTCCAAATGGTTTGTATAATTGCAAAGGAAGATTATTATCCCTACACCCTGTGGCGTCTGCACAAAAGGCTATACAGCACAGAGGAATTTCAGGCTAAGCAAGTTAAAAGAAAGGTAAGGATACTATATTATAGTGTAAAATAAATTGCATCCCGTTTAATTCCTTGTTGGTCTCATGTGAATATCAGATTATCTACGGATCAGTCGCAGAATTAATGATTCATTTCAATTTGAACAGTAACTCAAATGTGTAAGTTGCTTAAACATAAATATTACTTATTAGCTGACAGCAAAGGTTTCATTTATATCAGTACATCATATTTCATATTATTTGCAAGTGTCTTTCACTGTTTGAATCAGCCTTGAACTGAAATGTTATTTACAATGTCATGATTCGAGGTCAAAAATTACAAGTGGCTATAATTCTAGGTGTATCTGTATTCTACAGAAGAAAATAATGAATTATGAAGGCAAAAATGTCTGACCTAAAGTTCTGATGCAATTACAAAACAACATACATCAGATTTCATACTCAGTTTCTCTATTATTTTCATAATTTCAATGATTTGTAATAACAACCAACACAGCATTCCATTTCAGTAGTTTTGTCTCAAAATCATGTACAAAAATAATTTATTTTCTTGAGAATGCCCCTTTCATAATTCAAATGTGTTACGTCTTAAATGTATGTTGAATTTTTAAGGGCTTGCGTTAGAAAGGATTAGAATGACAGGGGCTTGTCACTTGTCAGGGGGCCATGGCCCTCGTTGGCCACCCCTTGGGGGCACCATTGCCTACACCCCTTGTGCTGCTATGAAGTAGGTTCATGTGTGTTATTTCTGTGCGTGTGCTACTCACCAGCTGCTGAATGACCCTCTCTACCAGTTTGGAGAAGGTGATGCTGTCATTCTCTCGGTTGTCATAAACATACTTGGTCAATTTTGGGATCACCTCTGTGTCCGTCTCTGACTCAAACTCATATCCTTTGGTGATCTGAGAAAGGTAAGAGATACAGTTTATATTAATATAGACATTAGGGACAACAAGAACAACAGTGTTACAGTAGCTTCTTTTGCTCACACTGTTTACAGGAACAAAGATAAAGAAGAAATGAATCTTTCTTTTGGTTGAGTCTATTCAAATTGTTAAGGTTGGTGACAGCTAATTAAACGGGTGTGTAAACTGCTGTTAAACCAAGCAGGACTGTAGGTCAAAGGTAAAAGCTTTCAGGTCACCGATTAAAGAAAATGAAATTATGTTCAGTTTGTGAAATAATTGTATCTAAGCTTGTGATGTTGTCATAAAGTAAACGTTTAATGTGAAAAGATTTCACCTGAATAAACCTCAAATGTGATACAAATTTGTATATTATGGTGCTTTTGTCCAAATATAATGTGACAACAAATCACTTTTACAACACTCTTAAATAATGACAGTTGATGTGATTAAGGAAATGAAAACCCATAAATAAATCAGATTCTAGCCTTCATGTTATAATGTTATTGTAGTATAGTGTTTTCTGTCTATCCACTTTAGTGTACACAGCCACATTATAAAGTCTTTCTCCGAGTCATTATATGAATGCTCCGACACTTCAATGACACACTGACAGCTCGACCTGCCACTGAGTAAAATGACAGTGACGTTTGTAATTATATAACAAGCTTTAACCTGAAAGGCGGATCCAAGAACGGCCTTGAGCGGGACTCTAACCAGGTAGGGTGACTTACCAGGTACTTCTTCAGCTCTTTGTAGTTGGTGATGATGCCATTGTGGATGACAACAAACTCTGAGAAAAAGCAGCCAGAGTGAAAAGATTAGATAACAGGCCTTGTGAAGCTGTAAAAAGACCACTCGTAGATCCTGGGAGTTCTACGGATTCAAGCTCATTTGCACTCACACTCTAATGGTATGTTGCCCACACTAATATTAGTACAGTAACAGTGTATGTGCCTTACCAACAGCTCCTACTAATGATATGCTAAATGGCAGCTCTAACAGGTTGTAACCAAGAAATAATTTGCTTAAATAACATAATAATAATAATAAAACAAACAGAAGTTACCTGGTAGCACATTTTCCCTCCTTTCCTGTGATATGAACTGTAGCAAGTTGAGCTTTTACTTTATGGTTTAAAGCCAAGGTACAGTATTCTACATTACCGACACACCTAGGTACATGATGTACTGATGACAAAGAGACTAGAAGTAGAGTGTGGGTGTGAAGACAACCATCTTAACAATTAAGTTTTGTTTTCCTTTGTGCAGTGAAGCTAAAGTGTTTCACTTGTACTGAGATTGCTGTGGTGTGTTCTATATAGATTAACAGTTGGTTGGCAATGGGTATTAAATTTCAGTGACTAGTGGTTAACATGTTTCCTTATGGAATGGGACATTCCTTCAAAACCTCTACGTGTCATCTCTAATTTATGACAATGGTTAAATAAACAGATGCGTCTAGTTGTTGTCTGAAATTCTGAATCATCTTCAGCTGTGGTGATTTCCCTTGCATGGTTGTTAAGCATCGCTCTGCAATTTTGAACAGCAAATAACAAAAATGGAAGGACAGGAATACGTTTTTGACACGAGGGAATGTTGGTGGATTTGTCTGAGGCGTGTAGGAGGTAACCTTTGTTGTATTTAAACTCATAACACTCAGTTATGAGTCTGCCTCTGAAAACCCTCGGTTTGAAGGGATATGTAGCTCCACCAACTCGTCCTACCCCTCCATCCTAAAGAGTATCAGGACACCTTTATACCTACACATGAATGTGCAGAACTGAGGAGTAGGGCTAAGTGCTAGGGGCAAGGGGGAGAAATGGGAATGGGCCACTGGACAGTGTCAGCACATGTATAAGTACAGTATTACCATTATTCTTGTCAGAGCGATGAGGGTGGCTGTTGACAGCACTCGGCTCTCCGTGTGTGGCCCAACGAGTGTGAGCGAGGCCAAAGTGTGTGTACAACTTCTCATCCAGGTCCAGTGTGTCTTTTTCTGAACAGGAAAAGCAGAACATCAGCCCTTTTACTGACATGACCAGGCCACATCTTAAAAACACATTAAATCTAACACATGTTCAGTGAAGGGAGCATAGTGCTTTTGAAGAATTTCTTTAATATGTTTGGATGAGGAACGAATAATAATAAGAAAAAAAAAATACACAAGGTGATGTGATTTTGAAACAACCGCGACAATGACACGGGCCCTCTGCTGCTGATGGAGAACAGTCACTAAAACTAACAGCCACTATCAAATATTATTTAAAAAAAATTGGAGTTTCAAGATGATAACAAAAAAAATGTATTACTGACCCAGAAACATTAAAATATTCTTATCTCCATCACTGATGCACAAAATAAATCAGTCATAAATATAGTGTATATGTGCATAAACCCACTGTACAGCTCCTCGTCCAGGGCCTTGACCTTTCCTGTTTTCTTGATCAAACAGATGGTGTTGCCATTGATGCCAGTGGGCGTCTTGTTAGGGCCATCCACAGCAACACCTGTATGCAGGGAGGAGGAAGGGTTTACACTGTCATAGTGTCGCACAGAAGGACACACACAATTGTCACAAATTCCTAATGTTAGTGATGACAGGTCAAATTTCACACCTCACCAAGAAAGGATAGCTGGGAAGTTGACTACAAAGAAGGATGGGTAGGTTATTCAATAAGTTTTAGTATTTGAGGTAGCCTATTATTTATTGTGCGCTGTGATAAACAAGCATGAAAGGAACTGTTGCGCTCTGTGGCTCCATCCTGCTCAAATAGGATGAACCAACACAAAGTGTGTGTGTGTGTGTGTGTGTAAACAGTGTCAGGTGCCAGGATGCCGGACCTGGTAACTATTTTATTCATACAAGCAACACTGTTAGCAATCATATCTCCTTCCTGCTTTTATGACTGAGGGTGTGTCTGCAGTCAGCCCACTCTTGCAAGTGTCTTTAGGTGCCACCTGTTACACCAGTTTCTCTTTGTTTAAATCAAGATAATTATAAATAGCCTTTTAACTTAAATATCATCACCGACGTGTTGAGTTTAAAAATTCAAGGAGTGCCGGCTCAACTATCACTATGTGTTTAAGACGTGATTATAGGGTGTCAACACAAATTCTATAAGACTCTGGCAAGTTGTTTTTCTTCAAGCCCTGAATACTATGACATGTTGGCTAGAGGACATAATACACATACTGCCAGGGAATACGATAAGCTTTTGTGTTTGGTGTATGTGTGATAGCGCTGAGAAGCCAAGTGTTTTACCTGCTGAATCATACCCTCTGTACTCCAGTCTCTGCAGCCCCTTCACCAGCGTCTCAAATACCTCCTTCCTGGTGCGAGGCACTCGGTAATTCAGATAGGCAAAGATTCCTTTTAGAGAAGAAGAAAGAGAAAGAGAACCTGAGTCCCCTGACGTGGTCAGCAGTGTTGGCAGAGTTCACATGGCTGCAAAAAGCACAGTACCCCCTTTTTCATATCTTGAGAGAAGTATAATCATTTTGCTTAAAGCTAAATATAGATATCAGTGCTTAATTTGTAAATTATGAGGTCACAGAATATCAGTTCATGATGAACATTTTCTTTTTTGTTCTTTCATAGATCCCCAACGTTACACTGAATGTGCACCCAGTGTGACCAGCGCTGGATACGTTGTGATGTAATTACTTTTATACTGCATTTAATTATTCTAATTTTAGCCCAGTATGCTGTTGTAAATGGCCACTTGTACAAAAAGTATTACACTTCGGGCAGGGTTTTGTCTGAAATTCTGAATCATCTTCAGCTGTGGTGATTTCCCTTGCATGGTTGTTAAGCATCGCTCTGCAATTTTGAACAGCAAATAACAAAAATGGAAGGACAGGAATACGTTTTTGACACGAGGGAATGTTGGTGGATTTGTCTGAGGCGTGTAGGAGGTAACCTTTGTTGTATTTAAACTCATAACACTCAGTTATGAGTCTGCCTCTGAAAACCCTCGGTTTGAAGGGATATGTAGCTCCACCAACTCGTCCTACCCCTCCATCCTAAAGAGTATCAGGACACCTTTATACCTACACATGAATGTGCAGAACTGAGGAGTAGGGCTAAGTGCTAGGGGCAAGGGGGAGAAATGGGAATGGGCCACTGGACAGTGTCAGCACATGTATAAGTACAGTATTACCATTATTCTTGTCAGAGCGATGAGGGTGGCTGTTGACAGCACTCGGCTCTCCGTGTGTGGCCCAACGAGTGTGAGCGAGGCCAAAGTGTGTGTACAACTTCTCATCCAGGTCCAGTGTGTCTTTTTCTGAACAGGAAAAGCAGAACATCAGCCCTTTTACTGACATGACCAGGCCACATCTTAAAAACACATTAAATCTAACACATGTTCAGTGAAGGGAGCATAGTGCTTTTGAAGAATTTCTTTAATATGTTTGGATGAGGAACGAATAATAATAAGAAAAAAAAAATACACAAGGTGATGTGATTTTGAAACAACCGCGACAATGACACGGGCCCTCTGCTGCTGATGGAGAACAGTCACTAAAACTAACAGCCACTATCAAATATTATTTAAAAAAAATTGGAGTTTCAAGATGATAACAAAAAAAATGTATTACTGACCCAGAAACATTAAAATATTCTTATCTCCATCACTGATGCACAAAATAAATCAGTCATAAATATAGTGTATATGTGCATAAACCCACTGTACAGCTCCTCGTCCAGGGCCTTGACCTTTCCTGTTTTCTTGATCAAACAGATGGTGTTGCCATTGATGCCAGTGGGCGTCTTGTTAGGGCCATCCACAGCAACACCTGTATGCAGGGAGGAGGAAGGGTTTACACTGTCATAGTGTCGCACAGAAGGACACACACAATTGTCACAAATTCCTAATGTTAGTGATGACAGGTCAAATTTCACACCTCACCAAGAAAGGATAGCTGGGAAGTTGACTACAAAGAAGGATGGGTAGGTTATTCAATAAGTTTTAGTATTTGAGGTAGCCTATTATTTATTGTGCGCTGTGATAAACAAGCATGAAAGGAACTGTTGCGCTCTGTGGCTCCATCCTGCTCAAATAGGATGAACCAACACAAAGTGTGTGTGTGTGTGTGTGTGTAAACAGTGTCAGGTGCCAGGATGCCGGACCTGGTAACTATTTTATTCATACAAGCAACACTGTTAGCAATCATATCTCCTTCCTGCTTTTATGACTGAGGGTGTGTCTGCAGTCAGCCCACTCTTGCAAGTGTCTTTAGGTGCCACCTGTTACACCAGTTTCTCTTTGTTTAAATCAAGATAATTATAAATAGCCTTTTAACTTAAATATCATCACCGACGTGTTGAGTTTAAAAATTCAAGGAGTGCCGGCTCAACTATCACTATGTGTTTAAGACGTGATTATAGGGTGTCAACACAAATTCTATAAGACTCTGGCAAGTTGTTTTTCTTCAAGCCCTGAATACTATGACATGTTGGCTAGAGGACATAATACACATACTGCCAGGGAATACGATAAGCTTTTGTGTTTGGTGTATGTGTGATAGCGCTGAGAAGCCAAGTGTTTTACCTGCTGAATCATACCCTCTGTACTCCAGTCTCTGCAGCCCCTTCACCAGCGTCTCAAATACCTCCTTCCTGGTGCGAGGCACTCGGTAATTCAGATAGGCAAAGATTCCTTTTAGAGAAGAAGAAAGAGAAAGAGAACCTGAGTCCCCTGACGTGGTCAGCAGTGTTGGCAGAGTTCACATGGCTGCAAAAAGCACAGTACCCCCTTTTTCATATCTTGAGAGAAGTATAATCATTTTGCTTAAAGCTAAATATAGATATCAGTGCTTAATTTGTAAATTATGAGGTCACAGAATATCAGTTCATGATGAACATTTTCTTTTTTGTTCTTTCATAGATCCCCAACGTTACACTGAATGTGCACCCAGTGTGACCAGCGCTGGATACGTTGTGATGTAATTACTTTTATACTGCATTTAATTATTCTAATTTTAGCCCAGTATGCTGTTGTAAATGGCCACTTGTACAAAAAGTATTACACTTCGGGCAGGGTTTGTCAAAACAGGTGCTGGTCACAATTTGAAAGGCAGCCTACCGGATCCAGTTCCTGCTTGTTCGTGCACAAACTAACCCCTGGAAATCAGCAGATAAAAGATTCAGGAACAACCAGTGGCCAACACCGTCCTTGTGACAATAATATTCACTCTGTGGTTCATTAGTGGTGATTAAAGAAGAATATGGCTGGTTGGCTTCCTTCAGGATGTATTATGTTTATGGCCTTGGTCATCATCAAATGTATTCACTTTGGAAGGACAAGAATAAACAGTCATAATAAGAACCTGACATGGCATTGCATTTATTTACAGGAGTTAGTCAAGCTGATGCGCTCTTATATTAAATTAAAATAACCTTGAACATGCAGATGTGGCTGCTGGGTATTTTGTCCATATAGTCTACAGTGTATTACCACTCCCAGTAGTTTCATTATAGCATGTCCTGTGTGTGTGTGTGTGTGTGTGTGTGTGTGTGCAGCCCTTCTCCCAGTGGTACACAGCTGGCCATTGATGGACGCACATTGCGCGTAGTGTTACCGGTAGGAGGTAAAACCTATCGCCTCCTCCTTGCAAACACACGAAGGGGTTGAAGGACTCTTCAAAGATGTAGCCTCGAGCTTTAAACGTCCCTGATCGAGTGTAGGACATGTGAGGCTGTCAAAAGGTCTAAGACACACTATAAATCAGCGTTAGGTTCGTCAGTGTTTCTATCCCTCTTTTAATTTTAGAGTAACTGGTAGGACCTGCCTGTCCTGTTGTCCGCTTTTGTGAAGCAACAACAGTGACACGTAGCTGTTGTGCTCGTTGGGAATCCAGACATCATAAACACAGACATTTATCCAACCACAGTTTTTTTATTGGTTTAACGATCGTTGTAAGAGATTAGATAACTTTTCGAATTCCTTCGCTTGATGGATTATACGCATGGCACTGTTATAATACAACCGTGCACTGCAGAATCGTAACAGACGATCCCTTCCAGAAAGTTTTCAAACAATATTAACCTGATAAAAAGAAACCCTTACCACACATGGCTCAACTTTTTGCTGTCGTGGTCGGAAACCCTTCTGTGAGAAAACGACTTTTAATGTCCCGGCTGCTGTGACGCACTGCTTCGCCTGTATCTAACCCAACACAACTGCACACTCTGGCACGAGCTCTCTATGCTTTAAATTGTTTCCTGTAGAGGCAGCGGCCCCTCCTTCTCTGACAACTCCTCTGTCCTGTTAGCGCCACTGCTGCCTCAGGTACTGGACCACTTCATCTAAGCAGACTTGAAGAGCCTGCTTTTACTGAGACACAAAAATACTTTGGCATTTCTCTGCCAAGTTTGACTTATGCAAATACTTATTTGCAATCGTCAGTGGTTTGTTCTTGGGTCATTTATTTGATTAAAGTTGGGCCCTGAAGTGTGTAACACCAAATGTTTAGGCTGTGGATGAAGAGTGTAAAAAAATAAGGAACAAGATTTACTTATTGTGTCTACTGATGCAGAAGAGGTGTAGTTAGTTTGACGTCACAAAATCTTTTTGGCAGCCCCAAACAAAAACCCTATTGGTCTGAATAAAAAGTACCTCTGCTTTCTTAACTCTGTTGAAAATCTGGTGCACTCTATACATTTCCTGGAATTAACTGAATATAATTGAAAGAAATATGGGAAATATTTTTGAAGTAAATCTGTTGCAAATGTTATACATTTATTTCTACACAGTAAGGAATCCATTTATATTCTTATACAGTTGTTTGCAAGTTATATTTAATTGTAGGCTTACTGTACTTACATATGAGGTACCTAAATGTAAAATAAAGAAGTGTATTTCTGAATCGCTGCATCAAGGAGTGTTGTGCAACCTTTAAGTGTGGATCTGCTATTTGTGCTTTTTGTTACCTGATATATGAACCATTGTTTCTGGGTGTTTTTAGGTGCCTTACTGTCATCACTTTATTATGTCTCAAACAACTTCTGGTACAAAGTTCAAGTTCCTTGTGGCTGTATTACCTGAGGAATCTACCATGTTTGTTGTTGTACCCACCTTACAGCCCCCCCGTCTGCCAGTCCCGTACTTTGTCTGGTTCCACCTCTCAAGGTGAGGATATTGATTTGGATTTAGGGAGACACCAAGAAGAAACAGTAGACAAAGTAATCCAAAACAATGATGAAACAAAGTGAAAGGCTTAGGTCATGTACTCAGGTACTTTTTGATTATGTATTATTCAGGAGCTTGTTAAACCAGGAGAACAATTTGACAGAAGGAAGAAACAGTCATGCACTCACTATAATTTCCAGCCTTATCACTTTGATTGCTCATTCTGCCTCTAGTTTTTCTTGTGCTAAGGTCCTGCCAGAGCTCAGATCTGATGCCAAGGCAACATTTAGAGCAATAATAAATGAGAGGAACTATTTGACCTGGACAGAATTATATGGGTTTATTGCCTGTGCTTAGTGTGCTTTTGTGCGAGGCAGATTAAATTCTTATGTAAACTGTGGTTGGATAATTGATTTAATCTACATTTCAGCTGCAGTATTCCATATTTAAAACCATATGGAAGGTGTCAGTGAGAGGCAGAGACAGCGTCAGAGACACTGCTTATCTCAGTCTCTGCCTGTATCTCAGTTAGATGGG